TCATCTCTTAGCTGTAAACACAGACTGAAGCTTGTCAGCACCGAAACTTAAAGGCTTCCCTCTTTTTTTTTTTTGAGGATTTATGTCTGTATTACATCTAATTGTAATCGTATTTTATTCAGTCCATTGAAGTAGTGGAGCAATGGGAGATGGAAAGAGTTATTTCAGGTATGTTGATGTCCTGAGGTTACTGCTTCGTGCTGGTGCGGACGTGAATTGTCGTGATCGTGATGGCTGGACACCGTTGCATGCTGCTGCGCATTGGGCTGAACACGAGGCTGCTGCTGTTCTGATCCAGAACGGTGCCTCATTCACCGAACTCACCAATAATGTTTGTAATTTGTCTTATTTTTCGTATTTTGAATAATAAATTGTGGTCATTAGAAAGCCGAATCGTAACCTTAAAAGAAGCGGATGGTCCAAAGAAATCAAAATGTGGAACGGCCGAAGTTAGAAAGTTAAAATTTGAAGGGTGGGATAAGTTTGTTAAAATAATTTGCGGACGTTGATCGGGCCGAACCGTAATCTCTAAAAAAAGCGGTCGGCCCGAAGCATGAAAAATGTGGATCGGCCACAGTCCGAAAATTTTAACTTAGGTTAGGGTTAGTTTAATAAATTATGATGGAAAAGATAATAGGGCTGTTCATGTGCACAAAACCGTATGACATGTTGAAAGGTCATCTGGAAAGGAATATGTAGGAAGTGCTCTGGCACAGTGATTGTTCGTTCTCTGCTTGAATGGTACTACATAAAATGGATTAAGAAGTTCCCCGTGTACTGGCCTCTGTGATATCTGAAATGAGTGTAGTAGGCATCGTCCTTCCCGACATATGTTGTTAATCCGGCTGTTTTTTTTTTTTGTTTTTTTATTGAAATTTGGATTTGTAAAGAGCCTCTTTCCGATTTCTCACAACTGTTATTCGCTGTTTTTGAACTTCTTAGTTACAAGTTAGGCGATTAGTATAAAGGTACAAGGAAATCAATATTTTGAGTGTCATTTTTGACCCTAAATTTTAATTGCGAATGTTTTTTTAAACATTATATGGCACATTGTTGAAATTTTTGCTACTGTTACTATAGGCCCTGTAAAGACAGTGATAATTTTTTGCCATTTTTAATATAATTTTTTGCGATTTTTGACATGTAAATTACAGTTTGCCTGAATGTTAAAAAATTTTGCTAGATCATTCTAGATTTTGCTAAATTTTGCTATTTGTGGATTTTGCTGATAGTTTTTACCAAAAAGGTGGTCTGCGAATCAGTCGTGTATGAGTTCCCAGAGATTTTGCATTTCATGTACAAATACAGCTAAAGTTATACTTAAAGGGATTTAGGCTAGTACCGTAAGCTTATATTCGTATTACTTGAATGCTTGAGCAGTTATATGTCATCGACGTTCGTTGTCACGCCATCGATGCACCACTGGCAACTTCTCCATTCTTCAACTCGTTGTTGCGCTGTCCGAATCCACGAGGCACGGTACAGGCGTACCATGGGATCTCTCCAGCTCACTTGTGGTCTCCCCAGTGTTCGCTTCTCCGTGCGCGGGTGCCATTCCATTATCCGTTTCGTCACGTTTTAACTTCCTTTCTTTCCTTCCTCTCTCACTTTATTTGCTCCTTCACTTATGTCTGTTTCTTCCTCTAATTCGTCTCGCAAATCAGTTACATGACTATTACAAAACATGGCGGATAGGAAGCTGTACTGATGATTCCCACTCCTACTCGCACGCACAGTTCGGTCTGTGCGTATACAGCTAAGGGATGAAACACAGAGACTGCGTCATAAAATTTCTTCATACACATGACATTCAAGTGAAATCCTTCTATCCCTCTATTTTCATAGTAATTTTATCAAAACACGATTCGTAAACTGAAATTGCTTGTAGGGTGAGACAGTGCTGAATGTGGCCGATAAGGAGATCATCGAATACCTGGAAGGGATGCAAGAAAAAGAACGCTTGCGTCTGGCATCCAGTAATTCGGTGAATGTATTGGTCCACTCAAACACGCCATTGAAAAGGTACGCCATTGGTACCAGTTTTTCTCAGTTTTAAGTTTTTTCTTAGTTTATTTTAGAATACAAAGGTTTTTTTTTAAACAAGGGATGAAATAAGAAGAATCATGAGTTAGAAAATTAGAAAATTTATGAAATTTTTAATGAGAATTTGAAAAATTAATGAGGATTATTTAGAAACCACATTGATTTTGTGCACGAGCATAACAATAGTACTTTTGCCCTGACCTCTGGTCAGCTTGAATTAACTGATGGTCATTCTAGTATTGCACATTTGCCTGAAAATTTTCCCCTCTCTGTTATGATCGAAGCTGCATTACCTAGGGCTTAGTGCGTTTGGTGGTTCTTTCTTTCGTTTTGCTGCTTTTTTTCCGCTTTTTTTACAGGGGGTAAGTCAACTTGGTTGACTTGTTATTCTCCCTTCCTATTGTATCTGTCGTTATTTCTTCTAAACACTTTGATCACCACGTGATTTACATGTCCCAGATCACCAC